TTCCCATCATGCATCAGCAAAATAAGAAATTAGACAGAAGCAAACAGAATCCATAAGAACTCAAAATAAAAAATCATTACTTACTTGCAGCAAGTGGGGCTGTCAGTCAGGGATGATGGGCAGGAAGATCGTTCACAGGTCAGAGCAGCGTAAATGGAGCTGTGTGGTATGTTCAGGAAACCAGCTGTCCACAGTTAGCTTTAAGTATGCAAGAAAAGTCAGTCGTCTTAAAAACCTGATTTGAATAACTTTTACTGTGTTGCTATCCTTAAGGAGAGTGTTGGTGTGCTCCTCTCCGCTTTAACACTGTTCCAGATGTGTCGAAAGGGAGGAGCTTCTGCTTGCTGCTTCAGCCTGTAAACGTAGTCTGTGTGGAGGATCAGGGGAGCTTACTCTCCAAGTGAGAGGCAGACACAGTGAGAGCAAGAGGGGGGGTTGAACGGGAGTGATTCAAAAGTCCTGGCTCGCACAGCCGAGAGACTTTCTTGTTGATTGCACTCCGTGTTTTGCAACTCTCTTGCACAAGGGCTGCCCTTCAATTTGTCAGACAGCCGCCAACAAACACTGAACCGTGATACTAAACTATGTGAACTTCACATTGCTGAAAGACTTTTATCATGTATAAACATTAGTGTTCCAAACTGTGATCAGGGAGGATGTTTCTTCTTGAAATGTAGACAGAACACAGGGCTTTTCCTGGATTTCTTTAAGTTGTAATAAGAATGTGTAAACTGTGCCAGATTATTGTTAATGTTTTAATATGGTGCTTAGCATTTTTATTAGACCAGCACCCAATGTCAGGTTTACCCCACAGCTGCCCTAAATTAACAGTATTATTATTGAGATGTTAAGTTACAGTTATTTACTTGCATTTCTGAACAGAAAAGATTTTGTTTTATTGGTTGAATGTTATGCTTGTCAGATTTCTGACTTTGCTGAGAAATCCAGAGAGCTGGCTCAGTTTTATGCTCAGATTTGAGCATAAAATCATGAATTCGTTTTGTCATTTGCCTCATAAATAACAATGTACGTTTTAGACAGATTTCTAAAATATTTGTGTCTTCGTGTTTTTGTGACATCTCATCTTAACAATCAGTAGATTTCTTACTCTGTTCTACTACCTGCTCACAGGTTAACCTTTAATAGCTAATCAGTTTGAATCCAGCTCTCAGCGTGATGTCATTTCAGAGTGATCCTATTTTATTACCAGAGCATTTAATGACCTTTAGGCACGAGCAGCAAAAGGTCACCCTGATATGCTTAATGGATGAGAAACAACAGAAACAGATGTGAAAATGTGTATATGAAGCATCCAGCTTTAACATGACTTCACGCTACTGCCACCATGTGGTTAAGATGGGTAATATCAGTCGGATGCATTCCTGATTTTAATGTTAGATGCTTTTTGGAAATTTACTGGGTAATGTGCTGTCATTTTCTGGGAATAAGAAGAAAAGGAGAAAGTTTTCAAGGCTTTTTCAAAACTAATCGACTTGTTTATATGATACCCTTCAATTCCCGGGGTGGCACGGTGCCTGTGATGTCGTCATTGTTGCAGTAAAGCAGGGGTGGGCAACTCCAGGCCTCGAGGGCCGGTGTCCTGCAGGTTTTAGATCTCACCTTGGGTCAACACACCTGAATCACATGATTAGTTCGTTACCAGGCCTCTGGAGAACTTCAGGACATGTTGAGGAGCTAATTTAGCCATTTAAATCAGCTGTGTTGGTTCAAGGACACATCTAAAACCTGCAGGGACACCGGCCCTCGAGGCCTGGAGTTGCCCACCCCTGCAATAAAGTGTTTGAGTTAATTTAATAAAAGTTAAGTAGTACAAACAAGTGTTTTAGAGTACCACGGCTGACAAACCTAATAGTATTTTTCTTATTCATATGTGTAGAAGGATTTCCGATGGCTGCAGGTGTGAAAAGCTGCCTTTTAAAACAGTCACAGCATATCTTGTAGTTTAGAAGTAACAGATGTAGATCTTCATGCTATTTTAATGGCTTCTTTTTTTCCCGTTTTTCACAGAGAGACAAACAAACTGCTATAATTACATTACCTCTTCCTCAGCTTTCACCTGCGCACATTAATAATAATAATAATAATGTGGGGTTTCACTCATAATTATGTGCTGAAATTATACATGGCCTAAAGCGAGAGTGTACTAATTTGCAGAAAGAAGCAAAGCTCAAGTGGAAGCCACTTGACATTAAAGTGTGCAAGAGGAGCTCTTTAATGAGCCATTTTCTGTTGGTGGCATTTGGTGCTGGCAGATTCCATGACGGGCAGTGTTAATGAATGCAGTCAGATTCTTTCAGTTCCCCTTTTCCATCAAGCTGAAGTGAAATGGGATTAGCTCAAGCAGCATGCATAGAATAAATTAGACGAATTGCAGTTCAGGACATCAAGTGACAGATTCATTATTGTCTTGTTGTGTGCCGAGTCAGTGCTCATGTCTTCATAGTGCCGCTGACTTCAGGGCAGCCTCGCATCACCACATGAGCAGCATTCTGCAGTTTTCTATATGTTATTTATTATTTGCTTCATCGTTTGGTCATTAACATGTAATACAAATAAGGACAACTGCTGTCTGTATTGTCCCTTATTATAAGTTTACCCTGACACAAGTAATTGATAAACAGCTAACGCCCTCAAGATGAACCCAACAGTATTCAGTGATCTGCAGAGCTGTGACTTCTGGAAAGTGTGTGCATGATGTTGTTGAATCTAACCTAAGACTTTGAAGGTTGCAGTTAGGGCTGCCACAAACGATTATTTTGATAGTCGACTAGTCACCGATTATTTTTGCGATTAGTCGACTAATCAGATCATCA